AGAGATTCTTAAGCAGGCTCCACGCCCAGTGCAGAGTCTGACTCAAGGCTCCATCTTACCACCCTGAGATCATGAACCGAGCTGAAATCTGGAGTCAGACACTTAAACTTACCCACCTAAGCGCCCCCATTTGTCTGTGTTTCTATGCAATGTAGATTTAGGTAACCACCATACAATCAAGAAACAGACCTGTTCCATTACTACAAAGATCCCCCCTGCTACCCCTTTATAGGTACAACCATCCCGCTCCCTCAAATCCCATCTCTAATGCCTGGCAACCACTAATCTGTGCTCTGTCTTTATAATTTGCCATTTTGAGAATGTTATATAAATGAGACAACATGGTTGTCCCATTTTAAAATTGTTTTTTTCACTTGGTGTAATTACTTTAAAGATCCACCTAAGTTACCTTATCAATGGTTTGCTCCTTTTTATTGCTGCATAGTATTCCATAGTACCGATATAGGAACAGTTTAACCATTCACTCAAGGAAGGGATTTGGGTTGTTTCCAGCAAAAAGATACTATTTTTAAACATAGCAATTCTGTAATAAGCATCTTTCCCAAGAGCACTTTAAAAATGAGGGCCTTATGTTCATTTAAGTCCTTGCTTTGCATACATTTACAGTTTTTCCCCCCACAACATTAGACCTTTCTTTTGTAATTAAATTCCATAGCTTCTCTATCGAGAAACAAGGCATCAAGGTAAATCTGCAGTTAAACTTCCAACTCAGACTATAAGTTGATATACTGGTTATGGAATATCTTTCAAGCAGAAGAAAGGTTAGTAAAGTTAACTGTACAGCTAGCCCACAAAATTAATTTTTTTATCTGTCAGTGATAAAACTAAAGTTGGGAGAAGTCAAATCATAGTACTTTAAGCTCTTAGGCAAGACAATATCAAATTACTGCCCTTCAAGAAGAAAGGTCAAGAATAAAAACATATGTAACTTATTTTCCATACTTAATTTCTTTTCAAGAGAAAGTACTTATAGGGAGTTGTAGATGAAAACACTAGTCAAGCAGGCTATAACAACAGTAATTTAAACACGCTATATGGTTTAGTATTTATGAAATAAGAAGGCACAAAAACCTCACGATCTGCTTAGAGAAGTGAGCTTACAGGTAGAAGTTTTTTTTTTAAAGTTACAAATCTACAATTCAGAAGGCAAAAGAGAACAAAGATCATAAGTACAGGTTTTCAAAACTCATTGGGAAAAAATGTGAAGTTAATAGGCAACTGTAGAGACTAAGAAGGTAAGAAGAGGCAAAATTTTCAAGGACAAAATCTGGGAAAAAACCAAACTGTTGGAATATAAGACCCAGAACTAGCTTTGAGCCAGGATTAAATAACTCATCTCTTATTTCAACCATCATCCGATGACTAATTGAATTAAATTCTGGAAAAGATACACATGCTTACATCTTATCAGGTACACACAAATATGCTTATATAACATATCCTTATTTGGAAAGCAAAGTTAACTTAATAAAATTCTGTTTGATTTTTAAGATTTGATTCTTTGCACATGTCTGTATTACTAGTAAACATGAGACTTCACAGGATCAAATGCAAGACTATTTTACTTTTTTAAGAAAAAATTACTTTTATACTGAGAAAAAACTGACATGCTCCTTATGTATCTTAGTTATCTTAAATTATAAATTATAAATAATAAGTTATCATCACTGTACACAGGTGTGGCTACAAAGACAGAGTATAGATTCTATGATTTGGAGCTATAAGAGCCTTTTGAAAAGTTGACTGCTATTTGTAGCCACACCTCTTTGACACACAGACTGCCAGAGTATTGACAATAAATCATGAAAGTGTTAATAGTGAAATTTTCTAATTCGAATAGCAACAATATATTATAAACCCATCAAGTCTTAAGTGTTTATTATTGTAACATTTTTCAAGAATGGAGAAAGTAAAAACTTTATCAACTCTCAGTGCTTCTGTTTCTACGGAATTAAAAGTTAACATCAACTCAAATGCGTATAATTAGGTATTCTAAAGTGCCAGTACTAGAAAATCTCTTTCATTATTTGGCAAGGCATGGCAGTGCATTTCTTCTGCATAATTTTTGAAAAAGTTTATTTCAATTTTATAAAATATTCTGCTGATGCCATGTAACGCTCCCCAAAGAAGCATCCAATCATACTGTGTTCATTCACCATTCAGCAAAAGGTACAGCTGCCATGAACCCTGGCCAGGCCTTACTATCAGAAGACTTCACAATAAAACTTTTCATGTTAAACTTCAATTTGCCTACCGGGACAAACTCAAAAGACACTATTATATGTGAAGACCAATACATTTTCAAAAGTGCCTTAAAAGAGAAAGGAACAATATATCTGGGATGTTGTTTCATAGAAAAACACTCAAGTACTGATAAATATTGAAAATTAAAAACAGCAACAAAACTGCAGTCAGCCTATGGCCATAATGAATTCAAAAGACTTACTTAATCTTAACTCTGTATTAGAGAGTTGCTTATCAGTAGCCTGATAGCACAGTGAATATGGAAAGCAACAATATAAACCTTGAAACACCTATCAGCTAACTAAAATTTAAAAGATTTTACAATTTATCACTACAACAATTTACCACATACTTTTATTCCAAATAATTCATTTGAAATATATGCCAAACATGGGGATTTTAACGCAAAAATTAAAAACCTTCTCTAAAATCAACAACTCTTCAGTCTCTGATTACCAGTTTCCCACATACCTTTTACTTTGAAAATGGCTAGCAGCAAACTACACCAATTTAAATCCCTATATAAATGAAAACTCCCGTAGTACTCTGCCATAACAGAGCAAGTTCTGAGGCTTCAACATCTTGTGCATGTATATCACTCATTCTCTTAAGATGCATTAATAATATTTAATAACACATGCTATGTATTAAACACAATAGTAGGGGCGCCTGGGTGGCTCAGATGGTTAAGCGTCTGCCTTCGGCTCAGGTCGTGATCCCAGGGTCCTGGGATCGAGTCCCGCATCGGGCTCCCTGCTCCTTGGGAGCCTGCTTCCCCCTCTGCTTCTCTCTCTCTCTCCCTCTCTCTCTCTGTCTCTCATGAATAAATAAATAAAATCTTTAAAAAAAATAAATCTTTAAACACAATAGTAGGAGCTTTATATACTTCATCTCTAATCCTCACAACTCAAAGTTAAGTGCCATCATCCCAATTTTATACATGAGGAGACTGAGCTGAGGCTCATAAAAGGGTCCCACAGCTAATAAGAGAATGTAAAAGCCTCCTATATTTTCATCAGCCCTTTCTGTACATAAAATATATGAGATCTGAAAGTATCAATTCTATAACTTATCAATTAACCAAGTTATAGAAAATGTTAAGCTGAGTACATGAATACATATACTTACCAGTGCTTTGTGGGGAGCTGTGCGAATTTACCTTCCAGGGTTATGTTTCATTTTTTTAGCACACATCCACATTTCTTCCATATCCTGAATCTAGGATCTATGTAATTCTGTATGCAAGTATATCAGCTATGGAATATGTAAGATCATTAAGCCAGTAGGATTTCCTTAGACCCTGAAGAAATGGTCTAACACATAGTCAAAACTCTGATTATTTCTTCAGAAGCCAAATTTACTCTGGTAACAAGTTAAGCCTCAAAAGTGGGCCTAAAATTTTACCTTTGATACAGCCTTGTCTACAACAAATTATAAAATCCATTATTTAAGGACATACTCACCCGCGCAAAACACACACACACACACACACACACACACACACGGCGTGAAAAGATGAGCACCTAATCAATATGTGAGGAAAAAGCAATCGCTCTCAAATATGCCAAATTTTATTAAACTGAAGCAGGTCCAATTACTCTAGTTACACTGCTATCAACTATATTAAATATTACATAGATCTTACGCTTTCAAATATTACAACTAGATTAGCTTCCAGTTAGACTTTTAACCACCTTTTCATTACTCAAAAGTTCTTGTAATCAATGACATCCAAGCTAACAGCAAAGGGTTTCTTCAGAATTACAATTTGGCAAACTATAACCATGGATACTTAGATCTATATACACGTATTTTCTGGGACATCAGATTAGAAAAATCACGTGCTATTTACTAAGCCTTACTTTTACTTAACTTGCTATCCAGGAAATTACACACGGGACAAGACAGCCTCAACAATGTTTCTACATAAAAGCAAGCTCAAAAAGCAGAGGCACTCTCCTCTGGGAAACAGAGGAGAACAGAGGAGAAAAGAGGAAAAAAGGAACAAAAAACTTCAAAAACACAGGTTTGAGCCTAAGGCTCAACCATAAGCTGTGTAAATCTGACCCCCGGGGTCCGTGGCACTGACAGTCATTCAACTTTCTTTTCAATAATCCCATTGTGCTTTTTTCTGGTACCACAGGCAAAATATGCCTACATTTTACCAACTGGTCGGAACGCCTTATTTCCTTTCTAAAAATTCTCCCGCTGCAAGGCCGGGGGCCGAGGCGTAGGGTGGGCCGGGGAGCCCGAGGCATCGGCGCCAGCCACCCGAGAGAGCAGAACCACGCACGGCACCCGCTCCTGGCAGGCCTGCTGTGGCTGGTTCCCGAGTCCCTGGGGCTGCACAGGCAGCAAGCAGCAGCCATGGCAGGGACTCGGGAACCTTTCCCCTGCCTCCTCCGCTAGGCCTCGAGGGGTTTGCTTTTCACATGGCCCCCGAGTGGGGGCGGTGGGCACAAGGTAGAGGATGCAGCTGCAGCCGCAGCCGCAGCGGCGGGCCAGGCGAGCCGGGCTCCCTCGGAACCCGACCTCCCGGCGGGCTGGCAGCAGCAGCACCTCGGCGGGGGCCTGGCTGAGGCGCCGATGGCTCGGCGGGGAAAGCCACCTTCTCACATACATCTCTCCCCTGCCTGCCTCCTTCTCCGTTAGCGCTACCGGTTGGCGGGCGGGGGAGGGGACCGAGGCGCGTTATTCCCGGGGAGCTGGAGGGGGGAGGGGAGGGCATCTCTTACCCGCGTTACTGAGGAGGAGGAGGCGGTTGGAGCGCGGCGCGGCGGGGCGACGGCGGGGCTGGGTGGGTGCAAGTAAGAGTCTTACGAAAGGGAATTAACCCCATCACCAGCCCGGACACCGGCTCCAGCGGCAGCCGCGGCTGGCAAAATCCCGCCCCTTCCCACCACGCACTAGCCCCGCCTCTTCGTTCTCGTTGAGGGGCAGTCCACAAATCATAGGTTATACATCCTCCGAGTGACATGAGGATCACCCAATCAGGCTTGAACAAACTACCTTCTCTCCACCCCTTTATCTCCTCCTGGGCCGCGGGAGAGCCGTGCCAAGTCTTCCTCCACCCTCAAGAGAAAAAGAACCAATCGGTGATAAGTAACCGCCCTTGAAGGACGCAAAAGACAACCAATGGTAAAACTAAGAGGACAGCCATTTTGCCCACTTGTAAAAAAGGCACCTTTTCCCACGAGTTGGGAGACTGAGGTGGAGGAGTTCTGTGGAGTTTTTACTAACCTGAAGATAATCGGAAAGACAACCATATTTCCTTAGGGAATATTTATAAAGCTTTCTTGGAGTGAATGAACATTTTTATCCTCCATGGGAGGGTGAAGTAAGGAATGCTGCTTAAGGGCTTGGCTCCTCCCTTTAGCGGTAACGGGTTCTAAGCCGAACACCTGGTTTCTCCAGCTTCAGTGGGGGAAGGCGGGGTTACCGCTCTGTTCGGCCTGCAGGGGACTGCATTTCCCAATCTGCTTTTCCCCCGCCGCTGTCCTTTCTTGCTTTTACTTCCCGTCGGGCGTGACGGGAATTGTAGTTCCTGGGAGATACCTATGGCACTTCATTGACCAATGAGAGGGGACAACCTTAAATGATTGGAGTTTGGAGCGGGGAACAGGTTGCAAGTGTGCGGCGAATCCTTTTTGCCACCCTAACAGAAGAGGAAGGCATAAAAGAGAAGGGTAGTCAGAGAAGAGTTTTCTCAGAACGCCGCAGGGGTTTTAGATTCCTGGTATTTGAACTCTCTTACTTTCAGTTTGTCTCTTTGAAGTCACTTCCGCCTTGGGGCGGACGCAAGCCAAACCTGTGGCGGGAGTTGGAGATACGGCTGCGAATACACCAGGTGTGGCTTTCGGAGTGGCGTGGCGGGCAAGTCAGTAGTTTCTTTCGAGAGAGATAGGAAGTTGAACGGCATGTAATTGTGTTTTAAAGAAAGAGTGGGTGAAATGGGATGCCGGTAGTTCCCAAGTCCAGAATGCCATTCTCCACCTCTAGTCTTCAATCCCAGAGTCCCATTTTTCTTATCTTTTCACTTGCTCACGATTAGATTGCACACGTGTCTTTGTGGAGGGTGCCTCTAATGTTTTTAGCCGCTTTGCGTGCATGAAGCATGGCTTTAGGTCGTCTGATTAAAAATGGTCTTAGAAGTTCTGAGCTAACAACTCCCTTATATACAAACACTATTAAAGACTGGTTGGAAGGAGATAAGCTACGGAAGGGTACAGGATTAATACTCAAAAATGGCCCATTAACATTCTTGTTTTTTTTTTTCTTCAGTAAAGCATCAGTGTTGTGGGACCTACAGTCAAAGCATTATCTCTTTTTTTTTTTTGGTAATTTTTAATTTTAATTCAAGTTTGTTAACATACAGTATTAGTTTATAATTCCCCAATATGTGCTATAGACACATAGGGAGAGAGAAATGTAAAATTCCATTCTAGAATTCTGGAACAAATGGTGGCAGTAACTTCTTTTGAAGTATTCTCTGTCACGTACATAGTATGTACTCATTGTGTTTAAAAACAAGGAAAATATAAAAAAGGAGGTCATCTGTAATACTGTTATCCAGAGGTACCACCATTAAATTTGGGTGAATATCCTTACAGATCTATTATAGATACAGACATTTGTATGAATGCTATCATACTACCTTGCTTTTTTGTAAACTTTTTTTAATTCAACAGTAGGCTGCGGATATGACTGGATGATAGATCTTAAATCATTTTTGATTGCTATCTGGTATTTCATTGTATGTCTCTAACAATCAGTTCCTACTTGATGGATGTTATTTTTGATTAACTTTTTTTGATTGTGGTAAAAAACATAAAATTACAATCTTAACCATTTTTAAGTGTATAGTACAATAGTGTCAAGTGTATGTTCCTTGTATTAAACAGATACGTGGAACTTTTTCATCTTGTAAAACTGAAACTGCACTTTTTGTACAACTCCCTTTTCCCTCTCCCACAGCCCTTGGCATCTACCATTCTACTTTTTTTGAAGAGTTAAACTACTTGAGATATCTTGTATGAGTGAACTTATGGCAGTATTGGTCCCTCTTTGACTGGCTTATTTGACTTACCATTGTATCCTCAAGGTTCATCCATGTTGTAGCGTATGACTGGATTTCCTTTTTCAAAGCTGAATAAATCCTGTGTGTGTGTATACACTACATTTTATCTGTTCCTCTGCCAATAGACATTTAGATTGCTTCTACCTCTTAGCTGTTGTGAATAATGCTGCAGCCAACATGGATGTGCACATATGTCTTCAAGATCCTGTTTTCATTTCTTTTGGATATGTGCCCAGAAGTGGGATTGTTGGGTCCATTATTAACATTTTAAAAAAATGCTCTGTGAACAAATCTTTATATGCTTGTCTGATTATCCTGTAAATCTAACTTTTTAGAAGTAGGTTATTTAACCACAAATACTCTATAATTCCTAAATTGCTCTTCAGAAAGGTTGTGCCCATTTTCTTTCTTACTAACAGTGTTTGAGAGCACCCATTTCCTATCTTTTACTCCATCCAATCAGATTGCAAAAAGTGATTCTTCATTATTTTGTTTGTAATTGAATTCTGTTGGTTGAGCATTTTTTATATGTGTAGTGTCCATTGTTTAATCTCTTTTAAGTAGCTTGTTATTGGCTATCATAATCTCTTAATTTTAAAGGAATTACTTCTTGGGTTTTTAACTCTCATATTTTGCAAGCCTTGACTCTCATTTTGAAATTTGTCTTTTTAAATTTTAATGCTGTTTTTCCATGAAATAGTTTTAATTATTTTACTTTTGAAATCTGCCTTTTTTCTTTTATAGTTTCTAGTTTATTTGTGTTGCTTAGAAAAGCATTTCTGATGCTTATAAACTAGATAAAAAATAGTATGAATATATAATTTAAAATTTGTTCTTAAATTTAATTTTACAATTTATACAAACTTGATTTTGTTTGGACTCTGTTTTTTCTCCCCCATTGTTCTGTCTTCGACTTGAACCATACACATTATCTTAATTTCTCTAACTTTAGACTATGTTTTGATATTAAGTAGGTAAAGTGTGCTTCCACTCTTCTTTTTTCGGTATTTTCTTGTTATTCTCATATTTTCTTGTATTTTTTAGATGGATTTTGGTATCGTTTTGTCAAATTAAAAGTACATCTCGGCACTTATATATTTTAATAAAGTACAAGTTTAACATATAGATACTGAATGCTACTTAATGACAAGTATTTCATTTCTTATTAATACAGAATTTTTCAGATACAGTCAAGGCTCAGTGGGGCTCTCTGTGCTTTGTGAAAACATGTTTTTATTACAGAACTGAATCTAAAAGATTATAGTTTAAGAGCATTTCCAATTTTTTAAAAATTATATGATCACTTTTTATTATAAAGGGGCTTGCATTTTACAGGTGGTTTCCAGTAGAAGTTGATGACTAATGCATGCTTATTTTTTAAAAAAGATTTTATTTATTTATTTGAAAGAGAGAGAGAGAGAGAGAGAGAGAGAGAGGGAAAACATGAGATGGGGGAGGGGCAGAGGGAGAAGCAGACTCTCTCCTGAACAGTTAGCCTGATGTGGGGCTTGATCCCAGGACTCCAGGATCATGACCTGAGCCGAAGGCACTTAACTGGCTGAGCCACCTAGGCACCCCTTCGGCATGCTTATTATAACTATCCCTCTATACTTCATAGTCTTCTCCAAGTACTTCAAAATTAGCATGTCCCCTAAACCTGTTCCTCTTCTCATTTGTTTTTTGGTCAAGAAATATTTATTGAGCACCTACTAAGAGAAGTACTAGCTAATAATCAAGAGAATGGGCTCCATGCTGCCTAGATGTGATTCTAGGTTCTGCCATGTACTTGTTGGGTGACATTGTGCAGATTAGTTAGCAATCTGTGCCTTAGTTTTCTTATCTATAAAATTGAGGTAATAGAATACCTACATCACAGGGGTGCCTCGGTGGCTCATTCGTTAGTGTCTGCCTTCGGCTTGGGTCATGATCCCGGGGTCCTGGGATCAAGCCCGGCGTCGGGCTCCCTGCTGGGCGGGAGGCCTGCTTCTCCCTCTCCCACTCCCCCTGCTTGTGTTCCCTCTCTTGCTGTGTCTCTCTCTGTCAAATAAATAAAAAATCTTAAAAAAAAAAAAAAAAAGAATACCTACATCACAGGTTGTTGTGAGGAATAAATGACTTCATATACATAAAACACATAAAATAGTGCCTGGCCTATAGTAAGTATGTGGTAGTTCTGTTAATACTGTTTATTGACCCGGCTGATGCTAGTGTGCTGTAAAATGATAAACAAGACAGTTTATGGTCTTTGATTTTATGAAGGCATTCTAATAGGTGGGAAAGACAAAATTCAAGTAAATAGATAAAAGGAATTGCTAATTATAATAAGTGCTTTAAGGAAACCAACCGATATTAAGGAAAATGTCAGGGAGTCCATTTGGGAGCTATTGCAGTATTCCAGTTGAGCAGTAATAGCTTGGGATGGCAATGGAGCTGGAAAGAAATGGATGCATTTGAGATATGCCTTAGGAATAATTAGTAATAAATGAATTTAATTTGGTGGGTAAAGGAGAGGGAGAAATCAAGAGCGAACCCAAGTTGCTGGTTTGAGTAACTTGCATGGTTGTACTATTACCGAGAGATTGGACAGGGAGCACCCAAGTTTGGTGGAGAAATAAGACTTTGGTTTTGGACATTTAGGCTAGAAATGTCTGTGAGACATCCAAAATGTCAGGTAGGTAATTAAATAGAGGAGTCTGAAGCGAAAAAATTATAAATTGTGTTACCTGGTCTATTTGTGGTAGACTTCTAAAATGTTCTTCCCACCCTCACATCTATTTTTCCATGTTTGACAAGGTAATTTTTGTAAACTAATGGCCTGATCAAAGTCTAAGAAAGGTCCCCAGTTTCTTACAGGATAAAGTCCAGACTCTTTTTTCACATGGCATATGAGAACCTCCCTAACCTGGCCTATTATTACTTCTTTACCACTTGTCACAAGCATTGTATTTTTTAGCTACGCTAAACTGCTTAGGATTTTCTGTGCTTTTGCAAATAAGGCATCTTCCTGTCTAGAATATCCTTATCTTGATTGTCCATCTGCAAACCCTGCTTTTCCTTCAAGTTTCAACTTGCATCAACATTTAATTTAATATCATAGGGGCACCTGGATTGCTTAGTTGGTTAGGTGTCTGACTTGATTTCGGCTCAGGTCATGATCTCAGGGTCCTGGGATCGAGCCCCGTATGGGGCTCTGCACCCAGTCTGCTTGGGATTCTCTCTCCCACTTCTTCTGCCCCTCCCACCATGTGCTCACTCATTCTCTCAAATAAATCTTTTAAAAAAATATTTAATATAATGTCTCTTATATAACAAGCATTTTTTTTCTCGTAAGTGAAGCCTTCTTTGATTGCTTGCTACCTTACACAGAGCAAACACATCCACTATTATATGGTATTCATATATATATATATATATATATATACTTCTTTCATAGCAGGTATTACATTGTGTTGCAATTATTTGTTTATAAGTCTTATTTCTGCCCTAGATTGGGCTAAGATGTGAGGCTGCAATGGCACAAATTCATCTTTGTATATGTGGTATTTTCTGCAATGCCTGGTACATAATGGGCACTCAAAAAGTATTTGTTGAGTGAGTGATTTTAAGAGGCAGTGTTGTATAATGGCAAAAATTCAGACTTAAAATTAGAACAATCACCGTTCCAGGCTTACTTAATATAACCAGTTGCTAACTGGTAAGAAATTATTTCACATCAATTTTCCTGAACCTCAATTTTCTTGACCTTAATGTGAGGATAATAATACTTTGTAAGTTGCTTTGAGAATTACAAGAGATTTAAAAAAAAATGTCCTCACAGGGAGGTCACTCAATAAGTGGGAAGTATTGTATCATTATTCTGAAAACAGTTGCCTATAGAATGAAAGGTTCTAGTGTCCTTGCTTTTAAAGTAATTAGATACTAGATATGGTAGTTTTTAAAGCCCCATAAATGATTTTTTAAATATATAATTTTGTAATTTACTGACATTAACTTATCATTTTAGAATATTCAGTTTTATTGACAAAAAATGTGATTTCCATTTATTTAATTTAGGTTGTAGCTTAACTGACAATTTTTAAATATAGCTACATCAGATATAAACGTAAAGAGAATGTATGCTATTATGAAAGCATTGAGTATGTTAAAATGTGACATAGGTACATTTTCAAGTCTTGATCAGATTTGAAGAGTTTCTGTGATTGAATATATGACTTTGTCTATAATCACTTTGAAAATATTTGAGTGGATAAGTAGATTTCTTCATTGACTACCTTTTGAAACTTACAATGATAAACTTTGTTTTTTTTTTTTGTGAATCTGTGGTTTCTGGAATCTATGTACTTTAAAGCAGAGTTGTCCAATAGACCTCCATATTAACCACTTGCAGGAACTGGTACTTTTTCAAGCCAAATTTATATCCCCAATAAGGAACTTGGAATTATTTCTGTTATTACATGGTTACTAACCTAGTTGGGAGAGGTATTTACTGAGGTTCCTGACTTCTAGTCCTCTTCCCTTGCCTCTATCCACCTGCCTCTTACTATTATTGGGATGGAAGGAGAGGAGGAGTGAGTAATCAGATGTTTTATCATAGGTCCTCCAAGATTTGTTAAGGCATTTCATTGTCACAGCATTTAATGGTTGTATCTATGTAGCCAAATTGCTGTACTAGTTGGAACCATTTCCACTGATTATTTTTGTTTGACTAGGATGAATTTATGAAATTTAGTTATCTGGATTAACTGAATTTGATCTTGACTTCAACAGAAGATTTGATTGATATTCTGTAGTAGGAAGAATTTTCCATATGTAGGTATCCTTTCTATCTTAGAACTCTTTTTTTAAATCACAAATTATTTATTTTATTCATTCAACAAATACTGGTAGAGAATGTGCACAGTGTGCTAGGGACAGGAAGGAATACAAAGTTGAATCGGGCATGGCTCCTAGCCTCATGGGAGGTAGGAATTACATATGCTATAAAAAAAAGGAGTATGTGAGACAGCTGTCTTCTTAGCTGGGCGAGCAAAGAAGGTTCTTTAGAGAAGGGGACCCAGTTACTGAGGGAAGAACAATGCCAGCATGGGAAGAGCACCGGCAAAGAGATGACTCTTCAGGGTGTTCTAATACCCTAATATTCTAATAGGAAGCCTTAATCTATATTCAATAAACAACCCTCCCTCTAATCTTAATCACTCTGCAAACTGCGTCCCCAATTTCCCTGATAAAACTTGAATTTGACTTACTGTCTTTCTATCTACTTAGGGTGATTTCTGCATTTGAATGTTTAGCCCAATTGACACAACATGCTAGTTTCTTAGTTCCTGGACTGCTGTGAATTTGATTTCCACACTAGTTCAGCCATGCACTCCTATGGTCCTACTTTATACTTCCTCATCTCTACGAACTACTCTACCTCTAGACTCTCTAATCATGGTACCCCTGTCCTTTGAAACTTGAATGTAACAAATAATATTGAGTGCTTGGTGCCAGGCAGCTCTAGGTGCATGGAATACACCAGGAAACAAAACAGACAAGAATCTTTGTCCTTTTGGAGCTTATACCCTCATAGGGAAAGAGAAACAAAAACTGCAATAGGAAACTAAATCATATAGTGTCTTACAAAGTGATAAGTGCTGTCAAGAAAGAAAACGTAGGGTAAGGTAGAGATAATAAGGAGTTGCAATTCTTGTTTGTTTTTGTTTTTAAATTTTTAAACTTTTATTCTGAAATAGTTTAAGACATACAGAAAGTCACAAGAATAGTGCCAAGAACTCCCATATGCCCTTGACCCAGAATCACATATTGTTGCCACATTTACTTTAAAATTCTTTCTTTGAAAAATATGTAACAATTCATGAATTTGTGTGTCATCCTTGGGCATAGGTCATGCTAATCTTCTCTGTATCGTTCCAATTTTAGTATATGGGCTGCTGAAGCAAGTGTGAAAGTTGAAATTTTAAATAAGGTAGTCAGATTTTAAATTTGACATTTCAGAAAAGAAGGAATCAAGAGAAGTAGCCATGTAGATAATTGGGGGAAGAGTGGTATAAGCAAGTGGACCAGCTAGTGCAGAGTCCAAAGCAGGAACATTTAAGAACATCATTGTGACAGAGAAGAAAAAGTGAAGGAGGGACAGTAGTAGGAGTGGGAGCAGATTGTAGAAGGGCTTATAAACCTTTTTATTTCCAAATCAGGGCCTTTGTGTATGCTTCTCATCTGGTTATTGTTTATTCTTTATGTCTCAGCTTTGATGTATGTATCTCTTAGGAAGCCTTCCAAACCTTCAAATTTGAAAACTGAATTTTTGTTTTATGCTTCCTTAACACCTAGTACTCTCCCTATAGTATTTTTCAAAACTACATCTATTTTTTTATTGTTATGTTTCCAGAGCCTGGTGCAGTGTCTGCTCCATGTCAACACCCAAATATATTTTTGTTGAATGCGTGAGAGAATGAAATTCAGAAATAAGATTCATTAGATACTTGTTTTTTAACTGAAATTCTTTTCAGGACAAATATTTTGACTGTTTAAGATAGATATTTTCACTGTGATTTAGCTCTGAAGCAGAGTTGGTGCATTCCTGTGTTGAAAAGGAAGCAGAGACCCAGGTATACGTTTTACTTGTCAGTGGCTACATAATCTTAGAGTATTATCTTTGTGGACCTCATTCTCCTGCACTTTGAGATCCATTGCTATGTGTTAAGCTAGAGTGTTTTCCCATTTTTTTAAATTAAACTTTTTATTTTGAGATCATTGTAAATTCACATACTGTTGTGAGAGATAATGCAAAGAGATCCTGCATACGTTTTACCCAGTTTTCCTCAATGGTAACATCTTAAAAAACTATAGTACAATATCACAACCAGGATATTGACATAATTAAGATAGAGAACAGTTGCATCCCACAGGGATATCTCATGTTGCCTTTTTATAGCAACCATCACTTCTGTCCCTCTCCACCTTCACCCCTGGCAACTAGTAATCCCTTCTTCACTTCTATAATTTTATCATTACAGGAACGTTATATAAATGGAATCAAACAATATGTAAACTTTAAAGATTGGCTTTTTTTCACTCAGCATAATTCTCTGGAGATTGATCCAGATTGTTGTATCAGTTGTGCCTCTTTTTTGTGAATAGTGTTCCATGATATGGATGTACCACAGTTTGACCATTCACTATGAATATAATAGTTCTTTCTAGTGTTTGGCTGTTAAGAATAAAACTACTGTAAACATTCATGAATAGTTGTTTTTTTGTGTATGTGTATTTTTTGTTTGTTTGTTTTTGTGGACATAAGTTTTGATTTCTTTAGGATAAATGTCCAGGAGTACCATTGCTGAGTCAGATGGTAGTTGCATGTTTAGTTATTTAAGAAATTGTCGAACAATTTTTCCCAGTGATCGCATACCCCATCTTCCTAGGAGCATACATACATCAGACAGGATTTGTTTTTTTGTTTGTTTTAAAGATTTTACTTATTGGGTGCCTGGGTGGCTCAGTTGGTTAAGCGACTGCCTTCGGCTCAGGTCATGATCCTGGAGTCCCAGGATCGAGTCCCGCATCGGGCTCCCTGCTCGGCAGGGGGTCTGCTTCTCCCTCTGACCCTCTTCTCTCTCATGCTATCTCTCATTCTCTCTCTCTCAAATAAATAAAAACTTAAAAAAAAATTTTATTTATTTGAGAGAGAGAGAGAGACAGAAGGAACGGGGGGAGGGACAGAGAGACAAGTGGACTCCCTGCTGAGCAGGGAGTTGAACACTGGGCTCAGTCCCAGGGCCCTGGGATCCTGACCTGACCTAAAGGCAGACGTTAGCCAACTGAGCCACCCAGGCGCCCTGTTAGTTTGTTTGACTTTTGCTTGTGTTTTAATTCTTTGGATGAAGATTTACTTCTTTTTAGGCTTTGTAGCCATACAAGCTTACATCTGAATCCTGGCTTTCTCACTCACTGTGTCATAGTTTCCTCATTAGGGAAGAAAAAAAATACTTGTTTCATAAAGTTCTTAGGAGGATTAAATGAGACAGTATGTGTTCCAATTCTTGGCAAAAAGAAGACACTGTGATAGGCACTCCAAAAATAATCAGTTTTCTCCCCCACCTTCAGAACTAATACCTGTTTTTGCTGATGTTCATGTTGTTTTAGTGACATGTCACATCATCTCAAGAGTTTGTTTATATTATAATCAGTTCCAGTCTGTTAACAGGATTATCACTTCTTTGTTTTATGTCTCGTTTAATTTTACTAAACATCTCTTAGAATTTTTGTTTACAGTTCTTGAATTTCTTTTTATTAGGCTTATTTCTAAAATTTGAATTTTTTGATGCTCTTGAGAATGGTTTTAGTTTAAAATTTTATTTTCTGCTTTTTGTTTATATAGAGGAACACAGTTGACTCTGTGTATTGGTTATGTATTCATTAATCTTACTAAATTTGCTTATAAACCTACTAGTTATATATAAGTTATTTTTATTCTGTGTACATAATCCTGCTATGTCATCTGTTATAATTTAATTTTTTTACTTTATATTTTTAATTGAAATATAGTTGACACAAATGTTACATTGGTTTAGGGCATACAATATAATGATTTGACAAGTCTATACATTATGCTATGCTCACCACATAGCTTCATGCAACTTTAATTATCATGCAACTTTAATTATAATACCATTGACTATACTCCTTATGCTGTGTCTTTTATCCCTGTGACTTATTTGTTCCATTACTAGAAACTTGTGTCTCCTGCTGTCCTACACCCATTTTGCTTATGCCTCCCTCCCACCCCTGCCACTACATCCATTGGTGTGTTCTATTTATGGGTCTGTTTCTGCTCTTGCTTGTTTGTTTATCCATTTGTTTTGTTTTTTAGATTCCACATATAAGTGAAATCACAAAGTGTCTTTCTTTGTCTGACTTACTTCACTTAGTGTAGTACTCTTTTGGTCCATCCGTGTTGCAAATGGCAAGATTTCATCCCTTTTTATGGCTGAGTAATAGTCCATTGTATATATACCCAACTTGTTTACTCATTTATTTATTGAGGAACACTTGGGTTTCTTCCATATCTTGGTTATTGTAAGTAATGATGCAGTAAACATAGGGTGCATATATCTTTTTGAGTTAGTGTTTTTGTTTTCTTTGGGAAAATACCCACTAGAGGAATTACTGGATCATATGGTAATTCTCTTTTTAATTTTTTGAGGAACCTCCATACTGTTTCTCACAGTGGCTGCAGCAATTGCAATAGTGTGTGAGGGTTCCTTTCTCTCTGTGTCCTCGCCAACACATTATTTCTTATCTTTTTGATTCTAGGTATTCTGACAAGGTTAAAGTGATAATTCATTGTGATTTTGATCTGCATTTCCCTGATGATTAGTGATGTTGAGCATCTTTTCATGTGTCTGTTGGCCATCTGTATGTCTTCTTTAGAAAAATGTCCATTCAGGTCCTCTGCCCATTTTTAATCAGATTTATTTGTTTTTTCAGTTGAGTTGTATAGGTTCTTTATATATTTTGGATATTAATGCCTTACCAGATAGATCTTTTGCAGATATCTTTTCCCATTTACTAGGTTGCCTTTTCATTTTGTGGATGGTTTCCTTCCCTTTTTATTTTGTTATAGTCCCGATCCCTTGTCTGAGGAGACATATCTAGAAAAATATTGCGAAGTCAAAGAAATTACTGCCTATGTTTTCTTCTAGGAGTTTTATGGTTTCATTTCTCACATTTAGGTCTTTAATCCATTTTGAGTTTATTTTTGTGTATGATGTGAGAAAGGGGTCCAGTTTCATTCTTTTGCATGTAGCTGTCTAGTATTCCCAGCACCATTTATTGAAGAGACTGTCTTTTCCTTATTATGGATTGTTGCCTCCTTTGTCATAGATTAGTTGACCATATAAGCATGGGTTTATTTCTGGACTTTCTTTTCTGTTCTGATGATCTAGGTGTCTTGTTTTTGTGCCAGTACCATACTGTTTTGATTACTATAGCTTTGTAGTATATTTTGAAATCTGGGACTGTAATACCTCCAGCTTTGCTCTTTCTCAAGATTGCATTGGTTGTTCGGGGTCTTTTGTGGTTCCATACGAGTCTTAGGGTTATTTGTTGTAATTCTGTGAAAAATGCCCTTGGTATTTTGATAGGGATTGCATTGAATCTGTAGATCGCTTTGGGTAGTTGGGACATTTTAACAATATTCTTCCAGTGAATGAGCATGGAGGGTCTTTCTATTTGTGTCATCGTTAATTTCTTCATCAGTATTTTATAGTTTTCAGAGTAAGTCTTTGATCTTTGTGGTTAAGTTTATTTCTAGGTATTTTATTCTTTTTACTGGGATTGTTTTAATTTTTCTTTCTGCTACTTTGTTATTAGTGTATAGGAATGCAACTGATGTATGTATATTAATTTTGTAACCCTCAACTTTACCAAATTCATGCAACTGATGTATGTATATTAATTTTGTAACCCTCAACTTAACCAAATTCATGTATTTTAATAGTTTTATGGAGAGTCTTTAGAATTTTCTTTAAAGATTTTATTTATTAGAGAGAGAGAGAGTGCACATGAGCGGGGGGGGGTGCAGAGAGAGGGAGAAGGGCAAGCAGATTCCCTGCTGAGCACCAAGCCCATCGCAGCACTCGATCCCAGAACCTGAGATCATGACCTGAGCTGAAGTCAGACGCTTAACTGACAGAGCCACCCAGGCACCCCTGGAGTCATTAGAGTTTTCTATGTGTAGTATCAGGTAATCTGCAAATAGTGACAAGTTTACTTCTTCCTTAGAAATTTGGATACCTTTAATTTATTTTTCTTGTCTGATTGCTGTGGCTAAGATTTCCAATATTATGTTGAATTAAAGTGGTGAGAGCAGACATGCTTGTCTTGTTCCTGATCTTAAAGGAAAAGCTCTTTGTTTTTCACCATTGAGTATGATGTT